ATACATATATACACATACACATACATATATACACATACACATACATATATACACATACATATATACATATATACACATACATATATACATATATACACATACATATATACATATATACACATACATATATACATATATACACATACACACATACATATATACACATACATACATATATACACATACATATATACACATACATATACACACATACATATACACATACATACATACATACATACATACATATACACACACACACACACACACACACACACACACAATATTTGTGTACCTCTCCGTCAGTATAAACCCGTTGTCCTCCATCACCGGAACTTTCTGCATCGGGTTCATCATCGTGAAGTCTGGAGTTCGGTTCTCTCCTGAAAACACAGAAGAACTCAGACCTGACGGTAACCACAGAAGAAGAACTCTGACTGTAACTGAACTTTGTACCTTTAAACAGACTCAAAGCTCTCTCTCTCACACACACACACACACACACACACACACATCAACTGAACTAACTCGCTGCTTGTGTGTTTTATTCATGAGCATTTATGACCTTCTCTTTTATTTCATATAAAAATATAGAAGTCTGTAAATGTCATGTTGTGCCGATAAGACTGTACTGAGGGCAAAGGTCTCCAGGACAGAAGTACAGGAACTCACAGGGTTCCACTGAGAACAGGTTCCCCGCTCACCTTTCCTCAAGGCCACCGTGCGGACCGTGTGCGGGATCCCGGTGCAGCTCAGTAGCAGGTGCACCGCCCTGCAGGGCTGCGACAGCAGGTCCAGGTAGACCTGCACCGACCGGCGCGAGGCCATGAAGACTCGTTTTACTGGGAGAGAGATCCAACAAACAGCTGTGCTCTTCTTCTTTAAATTTGCTTGGCGGATCGCAACCTAATTGAATAGGTGCATACCGCCACCTAGGGTACCGGAGTGTGCAGTTTCAGAGTAAAAGTTCCATCACTGTTCTAAATCAGTGGTTCTCGGCTGGTGGGTCGCAGATGAAAAAAAACAAAACAATGTGTGCTTTTATTTTGAAGGGGATATTTAATGCAGCGGAGTTATTCACACTCCTTAACAGTATTTGACTGAACTGCCTTGTAATGCTAATAGACACCCGCCATTTCACAGCATAGAACAGGGGTCACCAACTGGACCGCGGTCCGGACCCAGGACCTAAAACCCATAAATAATTGAGAATTATTGAATTTTGACGGAGCGTTTCTATTTTAACTGGCGCAGCTTTTCCAGCATTTACGGCACTTGTTCAGCGGTACAGGAAACACACCGACCAATGCGTGTGAATCACATCACGTGATGCAGCTCAGCCAATCAAATTGTAGAGTATTCTGACACGTTTCCTGACTCGATTGAGATGTTCACACACACCCTGACACACTGGGAGAGAGGAGAGAGAGAGCAGAGCAGGAGAAATATTATTATTATTATGTTAGTAGTGAAAGTGAAACCACAGGACGACCTTCAGAAGAGACAAATGACCCGAGAGACCAGAGTCTAACTAAGACTCTTACAGGTGAATTCTTCCCACGGGCAGCTTAAAGTGTGTCTCACATGGTCACAGACGGGAGATTATTAAATGCAGTGATATGAAGCGTCACTACCAGACAAAGCACAGCTCTACTGAGCTAACGTATCCTCTCACATCTGAATAAGACAGAAAATAAACCTCAGAGCCCAAAATGATCAGAATCCTGACGCATGAATTCACTGTCCAACAACAACAACAATGATGTCACAGAGAGGACAGCTGAACGAGCTGTTGAATAAGCAGCTCACTGATGTATTACTGACTCACTTCACACCTGAATGAAGGTGTGAAGGTTCCTTTAAATTCATCTTTCTAACATGAAGTACTTTATTTTAAGACGCACATTAAAAAGCTTTCTGTTACGTCAGTTATTCTTTATTGCAGATATTATTGTACTTGAAATGAGAAGAACATGTATTTATTAATGCTGGGCAACGATTAAAATATTTAATCTCATTGTTATGGCAAAGTTCAACAATGAATTCAAAAGTAATGTATTGCACACTTTTATTTTAAAAGTACTGCTATATGAACAAAAGGGCAATAACATTTGGTTCACGAGATGCAGGTAGCATGTTTTATACTTAATGTGAATATAATTCATACTTTCTTGGCATCTTATTCTGAAAACCGGATGTTCGTCTGAAGAAACCGGATGTTGTCTCACGTTAATCTTTCCGCTAACTTTCAAAGTCCTTCGCTCGCTCCCGATCTGTTCCGTTTAAATGCGTTTACGGTGAATGTCAGCATATAGGTGCACTAACATGTAAGTGTCTGCTGAGTTGACCACGGAGATGTGAGTGTCTGCTGACTTTACCGTAGCGATGTCCAGTAGTCTCCAGGGAGAGCAACAGCTGGTGCAGCTTCTCTCTTTATTTCTGCCCCCCTCGACCAGAAGCGGAAGTCGCCTTTTCTCTATGGCAACCCTGAAGGGACATCATATCTCCAATACAAAACGATAAACATGAGACAGTCTGTTACAATAACAATAAATTAAAAATACTTACCTGTTTTTTTTTTGTTGTTGTTTTTTAATTATTGTTATTATTATTTTTCCCATGTCAAAAGGCTCAAGGACACACACACGTTCACACACACACACACACACACACACACACACACACACACACACACACAACTGACTACATGATGTTTGCTGGCTTTTATCCCACTGTTCTTGTCATCCTATTGTTGTCATGTATATGTATTGTCTCTTGTCTTTCAAGTAAAATAAAAAATAATAATAATAATAAATTTTAAAAATGCGCTAACGCGCAATAAAATAATTGTCGGCGTTAATGAATGAATGCGTTAACGCGAAATTAACGCGTTAACTTGCCCAGCACTAGTTTTTATGTATTTCTATGTATTATTTATTTATTACATTTAACATGAGAAGTGGAGAAAATAATGAGGATTAGGTTTAGTGGTTTATATGTGTGTGTGTATATGTGTGTGTGTATATATGTGTATAAATGTGTATATATGTGTGTATATATGTGTGTATATGTGTGTGTGTGTATATGTGTGTATAATTGTGTATATATGTGTATAGGTGTGTAAAAATGTGTATATGTGTGTATAATTGTGTGTATATGTGTGTATACATGTGTATATGTGTGTATATGCGTGTGTGTATATGTGCGTGTGTATGTGTGTATGTATTTGTGTGCGTGTATATGTGTGTGTATATGTGTGTATATATGTGTGTGTATATATTTGTGTGTATGTGTGTGTGTATATTTGTGTGTGTGTATATGTGTGTGTGTGTGTGTGTTCACTGAACAGCTGACAGAAGAAGTTCCAGCTCACCTATTAATAGTTCCTCAGAGTCCCTCAGAGTCTCAGACCTGATCCAGCACAGTCCTGCAGCGCTGCACCCGTCTCACCACCTGAACCTGAGACATCTCTGTCCTCCGTCCTTCATGCCCGGCAGCCAGACCCGGTCCCGGGCCAGAGACCGGAACAACGTCCTGAACCGGCCTGAGTTCCTGTCCCTGAACCAGCCCCTCAGCAGAGAGCAGGGGGCGGGGGAGGGGAGGGGGGGCGGCGGTCCCAGGAGGTCCAGCAGACCGCAGAGTCAGCAGGAGGACTCGGGGGGGAGGTAAGAGGCTCCGCCCACTGACATCACAGCTGACATTTAGAGTCCAGCGGGATCCTAAACCAGGACCAGGACTCAGATTGTTTGTCCAAAGCCCAGCTCTTTAGAGACAGTCTGGATCTCCAGCGGCTGCTGGTCTCAATAGTCCAGAGTCCAGTTTAAGTTTTGAGTTAAACTGGTTTGATGAGATTCTGCTTCAGAAGACAGAAATATTTATTTTATTCATTTATCGGTGCAAAGTCTGTCCTGGTCTCTGTCCTGGTCTCTGTGTCCTGGTCTCTGTCCTGGACTTACTGTCTGTCCTGGTCTCTGTCCTGGTCTCTGTCCTGGTCTCTGTTCTGGTCTTTGTCCTGGTCTCTGTCCTGGTCTCTGTCCTGGTCTCTGTGTCCTGGTCTCTGTCCTGGATTCTGTCCTGGACTTACTGTCTGTCCTGGTCTCTGTGTCCTGGTCTCTGTCCTGGACTCACAGCCTGTCCTGGTCTCTGCCCTGGTCTCACAGTCTGTCCTGGTCTCTGTCTTGGTCTCACCGTCTGTCCTGGTCTCTGTGTCCTGGACTCACTGTCCTGGACTCACAGTCTGTCCTGGTCTCTGTCTCTCTGTCCTGGTCCCACAGCCTGTCCTGGTCTCTCTGTACTGGTCTCTGTCCTGGTCTCTATCTCTCTGTCCTGGTCTCTGTCTCTCTGTCCTGGTCTCACAGCCTGTGCTGGTCTGTCTGTCCTCAGGGGTCCTCAGGAGTCCTCAGAGGGGGTCCCAGCAGCTGATGGGGGGCCAAAGGAGGACTGCATGCAGCTGAACCCGTCTCTCCGAGGCATCGCCATGAGCTCCCTGCTGGCCATCGACATCAGTCTGTCCAGACGTCTGGGGGTCTGTGTGGGGACCCGAGGGTCCGGGGCCCCAATGAGGTCTATGGTGACCCTGCTGGCCCTCAGTGGACACGCCCTCACCTGGTTCTGTGGGGTGCTGGTCTGTCTGTGGAGGAGCAGTACTCTGGCTGGACAGGAAGTCCTGGTCAACTTGTTGCTAGGTGACAACCTGTCTGTCTGTCTCTCTCTGCTATCCAACATGTCACCCGTCTCTCTCTCTGTTACCCGTCTCTCTCTCTCTGCTACCTGTCTCTCTCTCTCTGCTACCTGTCTCTCTCTCTACTACCCGTCTCTCTCTCTCTGTTACCCGTCTCTCTCTCTCTGTTACCCGTCTTTCTCTCTCTACTACCTGTCTCTCTCTCTCTGCTACCTGTCTCTCTCTCTCTGCTACCTGTCTCTCTCTCTCTGCTACCCGTCTCTCTCTCTCTGCTACCCGTCTCTCTCTCTCT